TGCTTCTTTCATTAATTAAAGAGCCTCCCAATTGTAGCTCATTTTCATATATACAGTATCATTAGTTCATATGGCGGTCTGTCATCAGCCATGGCCATGCTAATTGTTGGAGCTTGCTGCCAAAGTTTGATGCTGAAATAGCCCTTGAATTTTGCAAGAACACCGTGTGACTTGTTTCATCACAGTCCCAGGTATCATGGCTGATCTAGTTTGTGTCAACATGTAAAAAGAGACGTGAACCAAATTCCCTTGGAGAAGTAAATATTGTAAGAAAAAGCTAAGTCTTGTTTTGGTTCTAACAAGTTCGCCTCGTTGGTTTCTTCGGAAGGTGAAGAAAACTCCTCAGAGTCAGAAAATGAGTCTGATTCTTTAGAGTATTTGACACCCTCGGGGAAACGAATCCTTCAAGAAAGACTGGTTAAGCCATCAGAGAAAGCCAAGGAGATGACTTGGAAAACTATAGGTCATGGTCGTGGTGGTCGTGGACGTGGGAACCGCATTGGACGTGGGAACCGTGGTGGACGTGGCTAGGATCTCTTTTGACGAAATCTCCCAACTCAGTAGAAACGGAAAACTCGATTGTATCTGGTACATTAGTCTCCTAATGAACCTTAATTAAGCTTTATCCCTCTTTCTAGCTTTCTCTACAAGACCTAGCGTCATAGTTTGTAATAACTTCCCGATAAATAAAATGACATCTCGGTTATATATATATAAAAAAGTAAATATTGTATTTAGATACCAGATTGTTTAAGGTGGAAAGCTAAGAATTTTTACTCAAATTTTGGCAAAATGGATCATCATAGAATTTTATTACTCCCTAAACTCTCTTGTTCCTTTTAAATAAATGAGTGACTTACGTCCTAACCGAACATGAGAACCAAACATTAGTGAATCCCTAGTCTTTAGGTTTGTGATCTTGATCATCTTGCATGGAACCTAAAAAATCGAATGCTTTAAAGTAAATTTACCCTATGCTTTAATCTTATATAAGCATATATATTGTGTGTTTTAGGCTTTGCTGATGATGAACATTTGTGTTTTATAGCTAAAACCAATTGAATCTCATTGCCCTATTGATGGAGCGGAAGCTATTAACGATAGCTGGTTATAAAAGATTTCTAAGAAGCTCAAGAACAAGGGGAATATGCTTTGATTTAAACACCAATCGATCAAAACCAACTCAATTCAAAGATGGATGGTCTTTTTACAAACATCTAGAGGCCTATTTATGATAAGGGAATAACGATGAGGCTAACATCTTTACAAACATCTAAAACCTATTTACAAACACCTTTCATGTTACGGCCTTTTCCGCATCATGATATTTTTCAAAGAACATAGCCAATTTCCCATCGTAACTCACCGTGTTCAACCACCATGAATTGGTCATCTTGCTTACCAATTCTTCCACACCTTTCACCACTCTCCAACATCTCTGCTTTGGATCATACGCTCTAAACTTTTTCTTTTTAACATCGTAATAGTATAATACATCATCAATGACACACGCATTCTCCCAATGCTTAGAATTCAGCACGTCCTCCAATTCCCATTTACTTTCCTTTGGCTCATAAACAAAGTTATTAGATTTATCTCTTATGTAAATCTTGTCCTCCATCACCACAGAATAAGTGAGCAAGTAGCCTACCTCTAGCAGTGTGAATTGGGCTGTCCATGTCCAAATGGGCTTGTTCAAATAGGCATTTTTATTTTCTGGACATTAATGGTCCACACCCAAATAGAACCATGTCCAAATAAGACCAAATCCATTTTGGACTATGACCAATTGGACTGTTCATAAGTCCAAATAAGACCATTTTGAAAATTACTTAATTGTAGCAAAAAAAAAGAGATTCAAAACATGAGTTTAACGTAATTGCAGCAAAAAAAAGAGATTCAGCTTACAAGATACAAGTTCAACTAAAACATTGTCATAAAAAATATAGAAGGGAGATAGAGACATTAATAGCTTCTATGTTGTTTGGAAAAGATAGACATTAATAGAAAAAGATAGACATTAATAGAAAAAGATCTAGAGAAAGTTACATCAGCTACTTTGAGTTACGATGATTATGCAGCTACATTTCAAAGTGAAACCCTTCTTTTCGAACCTGCAGATGATTTCACCGACCTGAAATACCAAAAATCGACATTTTTTTTAATCAAAAGTAAACCTAGAATTTTTGTTCTGTATAACAAAATGCCGACAAGTAATCAAGTAACTTAAACTTGGAACTTTGAATTGATGCATAAACAAGTAAACCCAGAAGACTAAAATCCACAAAAGTTGAAATTCAACTTCAATCCATGTCTGTAAAAGCTAAGAGCTAAAAGAAATTTGAAGAAAAGAGAGTGGAGAAGCTCGCCTGTGTGATAAGCCGCCGGAATGACTCGCCGGGGACAGAGAATCCGATCGTCGGAGTCTCGCCGGAGAGAGAAATAGCTCGCCAGTGTGCAGTGAGAGATGAATGTCAGAGACGTCGAGAGATTGAGAGAAGAACAAAAAATCCCAATTTGATTTGACCTAGAAGTTTTAGACCATTGGGCCGATCAAAAACCATATGGTTTGACCCATTTATTTTCTGGACAAAACTGGACCAATACCATTTAGATCCACTAGTATTTGAGTGTGTCCAACCGGTCCATTATAATTTGGACATGGGTCGCCCATTGACACCGTGACCTACCTCTATGTCAGGCTTTTTTAATCTCAGACTCCCACATTTGAATTTCTGTATCCAACACCATAATTTCCTCCGAATCGATTACGTAAATCTTACCGTCGATAGTGTCAGCGACCTTATTATATCCCAGGTACATAGGAGTGTCAGAGATGCGCTGCACTGTGTGAGATCTACAGTCGATGCTTAACACACTCGATGTAGATTCCCTACGGTAATTTCCTCCCACTACATATATCTTGGAGCCCACGGCTACATACATTCCACAGGAAGGCATACGAGGAAGCGACTGGATAATGACCAACCGGTTGCTGTAGACTCTCCGGCGGAGAATACACAAATAGTATTCATCGGTTTTTGAGCTGTAGAGGACAGCATATAGACGGTGTTCGGTGCAGCCTAAGGAGGATCGTCTCTTGTATAGCTCAGGCGACGCAACGAGTGTTTGGAAACTCTTTGAAACGAGAGAGATAATCGGATAATAGCTTCTCGGCACACGTGCCACGATATCGACGATGAGGTCATACGGTAGCGACGTAATTAGAGCGGTTGCTGCTCCTTCTCTGCCCTAAATTTGGAAGACATATTTATAGAGGAAACCACAAATCTTTCGTTTATTCTTAATTTTCTAGAGTTGAATCAAGCTCGATCTTCTCCAGCTTTGGTTTGTGACCTAGTTCTCTCTATCGACTAGGTTTTTTCAAGCCAGCTCTTAATTAAGACAAAGTACATATATATAGAGGAATGATTACAATAATCTACAGGGATACACTGGTAATCATATATATTATAGGAAAAATTGGAAAGTTTAATGAAATTTACGAAAAAGAAAGGATAAACCCACCATAACATTCTTAGCCCCCAAACAAAATCCTTATTCGAGAGTTTGTTTGCTACAACGTTTGCTATTCTTTTTTGTTCTGATCTAAGCCATTTAAAAACAAGTTCTAATCGTTACTAATATTTATTCACGAAGACGAGAGGGTCCTAGTTTGTTTTACGAATTAGATGACTACAAGTTGTCTTATAGACTTGTTTTATCTGTTGTCTTCAGTTAATTCTATTGAGCTTCTTATTGGTAGTTTATTTGCATACATTACCATAATTAGTTCATATTGACGGTATGTCATCAGCCATGGCCATGCTAATGGTTGGAGGTTGTCATGTTCTGCTACCAAAGTTTGATGATGTTGAAACAGCCCTTCAAGTTTTGGAGAAATGATGGCTGGTCTAGCTTGTCTCAAAAGGTAAAAAGATACGTGAAAAAAAATTCCTCAGGAGAAGTAAATAATTTTTTTAGATATCAGATTGTATAAGGTGAAAAGCTAAGAATATGAACTCAGTTTTTGGCAAAATTGATCATCATAGAATCGTATTAGCCCCTAAACTTTTTTGTTCATAATTGAGTAAGTCACTTACATCCTAACCGAACATGAAAACCAAACATAAGTGAATCCCTTTTAAAAGTCTTGAGGTTTGTGATCCTGATCATCTTGCACGGAACCTGAATCGAATGCTTACTCTATGCTTTAATCTTGTTGTGTGTTTTAGGCTTTGCTGATGATGAACATTTGTATTTTACAGCTGAAACCAATATGTATCTCAGTGCCCTATAGAGAGGTCAGCAAAACCACTAAGTCAACTGAAGTTTCCAAAGTGAAGAAGTAAGAAGAATTTTGTTTTTAAATCTCATTAGAAAAAAAGCTAAGGACTGTGTTTCTGCGAAATTCATGTTTTTTTTTTTTTTTTAAGGACTTCAAGCAAGCTATGGCAACGTTTTTGGTTAATGAATATATATAACATAATAGAAGGTTTGGCTTAAGAGCCAACGATCCTAATCACCCAAAAGTTGTCTACTTCAATTTCCCTTATCTACCATATCAATGGTAATGCTATATGGTAGATATTGGAATCAAAGAACAAGTTGCAGAGATTAACTATGATGTCTAACTAAAAGCTATATGTTCTGTGACAACTATAGAATAAAAAAAATATTAGCTCCTAGACTCCACTCTTAACGAGAAATTATTGAGAGAGGTTTTATAAGATTAGGACTTTGAAACCTCTCGACTTTGTCATTTATATATAGTTCATGCACAAAATCCATTGCCAAACATTATGGATTTTTCACAAAGCACTCAAATCCGAGTAATTTTCTTTTATTTAACCAATTCAACAAACTTCCGACCACAAAAAAAAAAAGTGTTTTAGGATAGTAAAAACAAAACCAATCAAACTAAGGAATTGGGATTTCGTAACATTTTCTTCTAAAAAAGGAAAAAAAAAACTAAGGAATTGGGTGAAAACTTATCTGCATTAAACCATAACAGCTAAGCATTTCATAATGTAGGAACCAAAATGCTTTTCCATCACAATATCGCACCACTCCACTTTACCCCAAATTTCTCCTCCTTGGCATCTTTCCAAAACAATCTCCGCACACCAAATATCCTTTGTTACCTTCTTGGCATCATGATATTTCTGGAAGAACATAGCCAATTTCTCACCGTAACTCACCATATTCGACCCACATGAACCGCTCGTCTTACTCTTTAATTCTTCCAAACCTTTCACCACTCTCCAACACCTCTGCTTTGGATCATACGCACTCAACTCGTTCGCGAGAATATTGTCATAGTACAATACATCGTCAACTACACATGCATTCGTCCAATGCTTAGAATTCAACACCTCCTCTAATTCCCACCTACATTCCTTTGGCTCATAAACAAAGCTACTAAAATGATCTCTCATGTAAATCTTATCCTCCATCACAACAGAATCACTGAACAAGTAGCCTACCTCTATGTCAGGCTTTTTAATCTCAGGCTCCCACATTTGAGTTTTTGTATCCAGCACCATGACTCTCTCCCAATTGATTATGTAAATCTTACCGTCGATGACGTCAGCAAAGTTATTATATCCCATGCGCATAGGAGTGTCAAAGATGTGCTGCACCTTGTGAGATCTACAGTCGATACTTATTAACGCATTCTCTGTAAACTCTATATTGTTGTAATTGTAGAGTGATATTGGAGCCCTCGGCTACGTGCACTCTACAGGAATGCATAAGAGGAAGCGACTTGATAATGACCAAGCGGTTGCTGTTGATCCTCCGGCGGAGAATACATAAACAGGATATATCGGTGTCGTACTCATAGAGGACAACATAGAGACAATGTTCGGTGTAGCCTAACAAGGACCGTCTCGCGGATAGCTCAGGCGAAGCAACTAGTGACTGGAAACTCTTTGAAACGAGAGAGATAATCGGATGATAGCATCTTGGTACACGTGCCACGATATCGACGAGGATGTCATATGGAAGCGACATAATCTATAGGGTTTAGGCCTCAAATCAAGAATCTCCGAGTTTAGAGAGGAAACCAAATCTCTTTTCTTAATTCCCAATTTATCTATAGCTCGGGTTGAATCCGATCTCGATCGTCTCCAACTTTGGTTTGTGAGTTGTGTGACCTAGCTCTCTCTATGGATTAGGTTTTTCAAATAAACAGCTAATCTCTCTCCCGTCTCTTAATAAAGAAAGGTAAATAGGATTAATTGGGAAGTTTAATGAAATTCACTAAAAAGAGAGGCTTAACCCAAATCCATAGCATTCTAAGCCCAAAGAAAAATAAAACAATATATATATATTAGGCAGCAACTTGCCAAACAACGACCTACGGATCTGTGAACAAAAATGTTGAACGAATCAGAGAACCAAGGTAAGAAAGTAAAACTAGAACAGTGACGGATATAGTCACATACCACTGGGAGTACTCATACGGAATACATAGTTATTTTTTGCTTAGTTTTCCACTGTTCTGCTTTTTTTTTTCTTGTAAAAGATTGTTCTGTTTATTTTTTATTTTTTTGAATAAGGAAAAGGCTGTTCTGTTTAACAACAAAAATCAAGTCTATCATATGAAAAAGATATTTGACAACTTTCATAGGAAAAAAAAGTACATATAAAATTTGGACTTCAGCTCTCCGATCAAAATTAAAGAATAGAAAGCATACATATTGTTTCAATTCTTTGGATATTTCATTCATAAAGCTGGACCAACCTAGTAAACCATAATCTTGTATTCTACCAATTAGACAAAATGGCAGCTCTAATCTAGTAAATGTCATTAATTTTGTTTATCAGACTAGACCAGACTAATTTTTATCTGTTCATCAATCAAGAGAAACTATATATGCAAATTACTAGTTGAAATACAGTAAAAACTCAGAATCTATAAATCATATATTCCTTTTTCCACCCTAAACTCTTTGTTCCTGAACTCCGAATCTATAAATCAAGAGAAACTATGCTATTCAATAAACTCTTTTGTTCGCTTAATCTTTAATTCCTCTATATAATTGAGTAAGTAACTTACGTCCTCATCGAACATGAGAACCAAACAATAGTGGTTTGTGATCCTGTTGGTCTTGTACGTTGTAAGTTTTGTACAGTTTCCCTCAAACTTCTCTTTCCCTTCTCTAGTATATCAATTTGATAACAGAGAGACAAAACCTCATCTTACTGCTAAAGGAATCAAAGAACAAGTTGCAGAGATTAATTATCATGAGTAATTAAGTAAAAATTATGTGTTATGTGAAAAAACAAAGATAAAAGTAGATTGTAGCTACTTCACTCATAATTAGAAATAATATTGAGAGAGGTTTTATAAGATTGGGACTTTGAAATCTCTCGACTTTGTCCTTGAATAGTTTCATACACTAAAAAATTCATTCCCAAATATAATATGGAGTTTTATCAAAACACTTGAATTTGAATGTTATTATTTAAAAGTAAGGAATTCAGCAAACTTCCAACCACAAATTTAAATAGTAAAAACAACACAAATCTAACTAAGGAATTGGGTGGAAACTTGTCTGCATCAAACTATAACAGCTTAGCATTTCACAATGCCAGAACCCAAACGCTCCTCCATCACAATATCGCACCACTCCACTTTACCCCAAATCTCTTCTCCTTGGTGTCTTTCCAAAGCAATCTCTGCACACCAAATATCCACTGTTACCTTCTCGGCATCATGATATTTCTCAAAGAACATATCCAATTTCCCACCGTAACTCACCATCTTCGGCCACCAGGGCCACCAATGATCAGTCTTCTTGCTCACCAATTCTTCCACACCTTTCACCACTCTCCAGCGCCTCTGCTTTGGATCATACGCTCTCAACTTGTTTTCTTAAAGGTCGTAATAGACTAATAGTACATAACATTGTCAACGACACACACATTCTTCCAATCCTTAGAACTCAGCGTCTCCTCCAATTCCCATTTACTTTCCTTTGGCTCATAAACAAAGCGATTCCCAAAATTTCTCATGTAAATCTTATCCTCCGTTACGATAGAACCAGTCCACAAGTAGCCTAGCTCTATGTCAGGCTTTTCAATCTCAGGCTCCCACATTTGAGTTTCTGTATCCAAGACCATGACTACCTCAGAATTGATTACGTAAATCTTACCGTCGATGATGTCAGCGACCTTATGATTTCCCATGGGCATAGGAGTGTTAGAGATGCGCTGCACCGTGTGGCGAGTGAGATCTAAGTCGATGCTTAATGCACTCGATGTAAATTCCCTACCGTACATTTCTCCCACCACATATATCTTGGAGCCCACGGCAATGTACATTCCATTGGAAGGCATATATAAGAGGAAGCAACTGGATTATGACCAAGCGGTTACTGTTGACTCTCCGGCAGAGAATACACAAACAATATTCATAGGTTTTTGAGCTATAGAAGACAGCATATAGACATTTTTCGGTGCAGCCTAAGGAGGATCGTCTCTTGTATGGCTCAGGTGACGCAACAAGTGATTGGAAACTCTTTGAAACAAGAGAGATAATCGGATAATAGCATCTCGGCACATGTGCCACGATATCCACTATGAGATCTTACGGAAGCCACATAATCAGAAACGGCGGTTGCCACGACATCTACAGAGTTAGGCCTCAAATCAAGAATCACCGAGCTATAGAGGAGACCACAAATCCTTCCTTAATTCCTAATTATCTATAGTTGAGTCAATCTCGATCTTCTCCAGCTTTTGGTTTGTGACCTAGCTTTTCAAACCAGCTCTTAATAATGACAAAGTAATAGGAATAATTACAATAATCAGATACACTCATAATCTTCTATTATATCCACAAAAAATTTTAAAAGGCAATTTTATTGATCCAAATCACATTAAAAATCAAGAAAGTTAAAAATTCTAATATTATTACTGAATAAAAAAATTAAAAAAGTTTATAAATTCTAATATTATTGCTGAATAAAGAAATTCTGTATAAATTTTTTATTTGTCTAACATAACATTAAAAATTAAAAATTTTCTTAATTCTATTATTGTTTTTAAAATTTATTAAGATAAAAATTAGATATAAATTTTTTATTAATAATAAAAAACCAAAATAAATAATATTAAAATTTAAATTAGATATATACACACATATTTAGAGACTCTTACATTAGCATCCAAATTTTTGTCACATAACTATTCTAAATTTTAAGTTTTTTTTTTCTGTGTGTGCAACCATTTCAAATTAAAAAAAAAAACAAGAAAAAATAGAGTTAGGTTTCACTAAAGAACGAGTCATTACAATGTAAAAAAAACTAACTTGACTAAACTATATGTTTAACTATTAGTTAAATTACAAAAGAATATAATGAAAGAAGATATTTACAAAGCCATTACAAGTCGCTTTAATATTGAAAAAGAGACTGTAAAATCTCCAAAGCTTGGCCACCGAATTTAAGAAGAATGATAAATTCCAAGCAATCCAAAAAATATGTCAAGCGATTGATCCTCGACACTTTTAAAAACAAAGCACTGAAAATAAAGAAAGATGTTCCAAGACGAAAGAGACTGAGGTATTCGAGGAAGATTTTTTAAATAACATGGCATCTAATGGGATTTTAACAACCCAACATGAACCACAAAGGTAACAATTAGCTGACCAAACAACATCCGAATACATTCGGTAAGCCTCAAAACAAGGAGAAGAGACCAAAATCACTTGTCTCAATGGACCTCGTGTGAGATCTTCCACTTTGATTTCTAATTATATTACTAATAAAAGTTAAAGTTATATGCCTCTAAGAATGTCCACATGTGATTTAAAAGTTTAATTCTATTGGTCTATGTTAATATTTAAAATTAAGAAAATTTCCAAATTTTAAAATTATATTGTTAACAAAAACATATATTTATAGAAAAATAAAAGTTGAAGCTATATGTCTAAGGACATCCACATAAGATTTAAAGGGTCAATTTTATTAGTCTACATTAATAACTAAAATTAAAAAAGTTTCTAAATTATAAATTACATTGGTAATACAAAATAATATAGGAAAATTGTTAATTAAAATTATTTTATTATAAATAATAGTTAAAGCTATATTAGCTTCAAAGCATTCACATCAGCATTTAAAAATTCAATTATATCAAAATTGTAAATTAAAAAAAATGTTTCCTAATTCTAATATTATGGTTAAAAAAATAAATTAAAAAATAAAGAAATCTCTATTGTCACCTAAAAAAACAACATGATATTAAAATCTTCATTATCACTGATTAAGTTACACATTTAATTTATTATCTATAAAAAAATATATGCTACTTATACGAGTTTAAGTTACTTGATTTTTAAAGTTTTTCACGTAGAATTTTAAATAACCAATAGTTGTGAGTTATATTCATCTAATTTGTTTTTTCACATATGCGAAACATATTTCCACATAATCTCATGTAATATATTATGTGAAAATGATCCATAAAATCATATTTTTATATTCAACATGGAATTTTAATAGATTAATGTAGAAATTCTTAATTTTGAGTTGTTAAATTTACTATTTCATTTTTATAAATTTGTATGTATTAAATTAAATCGGTTTTGTCTATTTAATTATAATTATAAGAAGTGAGAATGAATATGATGAAACTGACTATAATCATACAAAATCATTTAAATTAATAAACACTATATATTCATTGAGAAAACATATATAACAAGAATAAAAATGAACATGATGAAAAAAAAAAATTCATTCTTATTTGAAGAGATAGACATATAATCATTGAAAATTATTTAAAAATTTCCACAACCAATTGAAAAAACAAACATTTAATTTACTAATTTTGTGTGATTTTATTTATTTAATATTCAGCTATTGTTTTGGTTTTAAATTTAAAGTTGTTATTAATCTCAAAGCAAACATTTTATTTATTAGTTTATTTTTAAATCAATATATCGAAATAAAAAGTTTTATTGGTTAAACAAGAGAAGAAAAAAAAATTAAAATTTGATAATATTTAGTCATTTTTAAAGAACACATATTTTTATCATTTTTATTAAGTATTTATTTATTTTGATAATATTTATTGATTTTTAAAAATTAACTTTATTATATTAAAGCATGTATGAACTAGAATTTCCTTTTTAAAAATTAAATTTTTATTTCAGATTGTGAGAAAAGAACACGAAATGGATAGCATATGAACATGAAGATAAATTAACTTCAATATTACTATTTTTTTTTTTGCTATGTAAATTTTTTTAAATTTTGTGCTAGTTGAATGCTACTTGAATGCTTTTTAAATCTTTGCTATTTGTAACTTTTGCTATGATGATACATTTTAATTATCTATGTTATCTCATTATAATTTTAAAAATTTGAATGTTTTTTTTTAAATCAACAAAACCGGATATCCGATCAGATATCCGTAAATATTTAGTTCAAACCGGATATCCGGAAAATGATGAAAAAAAATTATTATTCTTTTTTAAAATATGTTTCTTATCAGGAGATCGGATATCGGTCTCCGGATATCCGGAGTTTCCGGAATTGGATTCGGGTAGTAAAATTTATTATCCGGAGGATACGGGATGCGGATCTGGATACCTTGAAAAGTCTGGATATCCGGCTCCCTTTCACACTTATATAATTGGAATAAAAATGAAAATGATGAAAAAAATTATCTTCTTGATTTAAAAAGTGAATGTATAATATTTTATCATCATGTCAATACTATGTTCAAAAAGTTGCATTTGATTAATTTGTTAGTTGGTTTGGGTATATTAACTTATAAGTGTTTGACTAATAATATGTTTTTAAAATATGATATACTGTATATGATTCAAAACAAAACTGTTAAAACCTCATAATTTACATAATATTTTAATATAGTTTTAAAACATTAATATATAAAATTTATGTTTTTAATAAATATAATTGATTGAATATAATTTTTATCAACAAAATACCCACGTGTAGCGTGGACACAAAATCTAGCATATTCATTCAAACATATTACATCTTTTAATAAGCCCGAATATGCTAGCCTACTCTCGCAGCGCTAACCAACTGTCATCCACGACCTTGACCAGTAGCTTTCGTCTCTTCTCCGAGTAACAGATGCACGCATTAAATCAAACAAAAGTCATCTACGCTCACAACTCACCTATAGGTAGTTTTCATCTCCAGATCTCCTATAACAGAATCGCTTATTTCATTATAGTTCGGATAGATGTAAAACTCTCACAACACTAAGTATCTAGATCAAATTCTAAGTTGCCAACAAAGGATCATGCATTAAGAATAAGAATAATCGAAGAACACTTAGAAGATTATAAACCATAAATCTAACGATTCATGGATAAAGACACATGAAATTCATTTTGAAAAAAATTATTTTATACCCAAATGAGAAACTACTCAAACATAGTGTATGTAAACATCACATAGTATTTAGAATTGCTGGAAATTAAAAAAAAAAAGAAAAAAACAGGATAATAATGAAAAAAAAGAGGTGGCTATAGAGGCTTGATGGTGCTCTCTAATAACACCGTATTTTGACCACTTTTATGGATCGTTTTGAAATATTTTTTTTATGTTTTTAATTGCTTTCAAGTACTTTTATTATGTTTTTTTAGTATTTGTAGTTCCAAGACTCTTTTCAGAAAACTTAGGGAAAAGCTTAACAAAATGGATAGAAGACCAGATTTTCAGCTTAGAGTCAAACCGTCAGAAGCTCACCCCCGATTGAAGGCCTTCTCACCATCTAATTCAGTTCAAATTTGGAGATCTCAAAGATGGAAGTATCAGCTTTCCAGCACACTTTATAGCTTGGCAATCCAACGGGGTAATCAAAAGATACGCAAAGAGCAAGATGTCCCGTAAACCAGCCGGCAAGCGTTTCCACCCGCGGCCAATAGCCCATTCCCCGCGGTCACGCACATCCTGACCGCGGCCAACCATCCATTCCCCGCGGTCACGCACTTCCCGTTCGCGGCCAACCATCCATTCCCCGCGGTCACGCACATCTCGATCGCGGCCAACCAACTCCGAGTTCGAAGGCCCATTTCTGAAGCCCATATCATTTTCCCACCCTCAATTCTGAAACCCTAGACACCAGAGAGTATTAGAGACTATAAATACTTATCATTTAGGTCATTTTTAAAGAGAGAAGAGGAGAGACGAAATACTTTAGAAGAACTTTACTTTAAGCTTTTGTTTTTAGGTTTTAGGGAGAGAAAGATTTGTCTCTTGAACACTTGTTCTTTTTTTTCAATTTTGGTTTCTGTTCTACTTTTTAATACTATGTTTTTGATTTCGTTCATCATGTCTGAGTAGTTTTATTGTTGGGTCTAAGGGATTTTCGATGGGGATACATATGTTCGATGAGGATTCCATGAGCTATTGAAGCCGAATCTTAGAACTTTTTCTTCTGAATTTACTTTTACTGCATGAGAGTAGCGTCATGAACTACAATCTGATCCAGATGCTTGGTGACACGAAAGTTTTCATCCGGTGTCAGATCTAGTTTGGGAGAGCAAAACAAACATAGGAGTGGAAACCTACCTATGGGTGATTTGTGAATGCTGATGAGTCTTAAACATAATACATCTTTTCTCTTCGAGGGCCAGAGTGGAAACCTACTGGTCAGGGTTGAGAGAGATAGTTGTCTATGATCATGACAGTGGCGTATTCATACGTCCGTGACTCTAGTTCGAAAAGTTTAAGCTAAGATCTTATCAAATTTACTCTCTAGCAATGTTTTGAATCGTTCATACCCCTGAGAAAACTTCCCTGAAACCCAGCGCCTCTTTTCTATAGATTTACACCGATTTTCATTCAAGTTTTAGTCTAGTATTTTCATTCTCTTAATCGATTTTCATTTAAGCAATTAGGTTTAGCCGTTTTTCTCGTTTTTAGTCGATTTCATTAAGTTTAGCTATTAGGTCATTTTAATTACCGTATTTTCTCGTTAAGATTAGTTTTTACGTTTAAAGACACCACCAAAACCCTCAAAAAAACCGTCTGGTTCTAGACTTCCTTACTTTATATTTCTTTCGAAGGCTTTTGCAGGAAATATCTTCATTCCTTGTGGATTCGATCCCTAAGTTCTACAATCGATCAGCTGTGCACTTGCGGCTATTGATTTCATTTAGGGTAAAACTTGACAACCCTCATGACATGACATATCACTCTTCTTGGCGCTCGTCTTCTAAGACGGCTTCTCTCGACTTGTGGTAAAAAATCGAGCACTCACCTTTAGAACGACCTAAACAAGGAATTTATAGCTTCTGGAGTTATCTTGGATACTTAGGGCGCCTTCGAACATAAGTGATGGGATTGACTTGGGCATGAAACGGGTCTCTCAGGTGCGAAAATATGTCAGCCATGGTCGTAAGAGCTGAACCCGCGACGGATGATGGTCTAACCGTGGTCGCGACAACTGCTCTGCTCCGAGACTGCATCATCTATCTTTAGTGCATCAGGAATATCAGAAGATCTAACCGTTGTATTGTCTCCGTACCAATTGCATTTAAAATTTAGTTGTCTCCTATATGTTGACTCAAATTTTGGAGATGATCGGACGTGAAAAGATCTTCATTTGTTGTCATACTTCTGACGGTCTGAATTTATCCAAAATCGTTTTTGCACATTTTTGGTCCAAGTTTTCTGAAAAATATTTTAAAACTCTAAGACCTTGAAATCACTTAAAAACATTGAAAACATAGTTAAAACACCTGCATAAGATATTATAATGATCCATAAAAATAATCAAAATCAGGCATTATCAGGCTCAGTCACTGAATCTAAATTATCATGCATAAACAAAACATATATTTTAGGAATCTTGCATCCAGTTTTGGAAACACTTCCCTGAAAATGTCATTTACTTGTGTGATTGGATCATTGTCCCAAATTGGATCTGTTTTGGTAAAGGATGAAGTTTGAGTCTCGATGTCATTTGGGGTTGGAGTCTCGATGACTTTTAGGGTTTGAGTCTCGACAACATTTTCTATCAGCAAAAATTAAACATTTTTTAGGAAACGTTTCATAAATCTTATTGAGGACAGACATCATACCTCATCATCATCATATATAGCTTGTACAAGTCAGAAATCTTACCTCTTCATTAAAAACTTGTTCTTGAGGCTTCTGATTGGGGAGTTGAATATTATGACTGTGTATCTGAAACCATTTTAAATTAACATTCTCTTCCTTTACAATTTTTGGAAGGTCAGTTAATATTTTAGGAAGGCTTTCCTAAATTAAGAGGATGCCTTTTTAGATTAGAGAGAAAGCATAGGACTTACCTCTACATCGAAAATATTTTCTTGAGGGGTCAGATTTGGGAGTTGAACATCAATTAACATTTTAAACATTTTTCAAAGCATCTCTGTGTGTCTTTTACAGTTTTCGTAAGGTTTCTGGAATATTTTAAGAAAACTTTCCTGAATTAGAAAAATGCTTTCCTAAATTATGGAGAAGGCATAGAGCTTACATCATTACGAAAACCGTGTTCTAGAGGGGTCGGACTAGGGAGTTGAACACCATCACTGTGTATCTGCAAACATGTTAAATTAACATTTTAAACATTTTCAAGGTATATTTGCGGGTCCTTTACAATTTTAGGTAGGTTTTGAATGTTTTTTAGGATAGCTTTCCTGAATTATTAGAATGCTTTATCTCTTCATTGAAACCGTGTTCTGGAATAATATCTCTGCGAGGAGATTTACCAATGGAAGTGTTCTGATCACTACAAGAAAAGTTGTATATAGCCACAATTAATTTTGTGGCACACACCTCAAATTAACCAAATATCTGTCATAGACTGCAAGAACAAATCAAAACAAACCAAATATTGCTGAACAAAACAAATCCATATTAAAAACAAAACTAAACAAAGCAAAAGAAAACTAGCTTACTTGGTTGATTCCCATCTTGTCATCTATGTTGGAAAAGCGGTAACTGATATCATTTAGTCCATTTTGAACTATTTTGTAGAGATTGTTTAGCTTTGTCATGAGTGTTCATCAGATGGTTCTGCTTCTATAGCAGATGTTCCAGCTCCCACAGCAGATGTTCCTACTCTCGCATTAGATGTTCCTGCTCCCACAGCAGATGTTCTAACCGGAAAGATTGCTGAGCTATATGATCCATTGCCTCTATAATGTCAACTGTTTCTTTTTCCTAGTCCTTTTTTGTCATCTTGTAACCCTTGGTTACAATGTCCACAAGCGTATTAAGATATTCATCAGGTTTGTCATCTAAAAAACACAGTGGTTTCAAGATCATCTTCTATAGATGGTAAGACACATACAACTTTAAGCTGCACAAGTCAAAACAAATTCTTAATTTAGTAATGCCATCCTAAATAAGAAAATATACTCTGAGAATCAAAGATTAGGAAACTTACATCGCAAAGCATCTCTATGCTCCTAACTTGGCGACTTGAAGGAGACATCAGATGAATTTTTTTTTCTCGCATAGGAAATTCGTTGGTTGCTCCATAGCGTTGAGTGAGCTGAATTCATTTTGAAGCTGTGGACTTGATTCCAAATCTACTATCGAGAAACCTGAAGATCATACTTGTTCCTCGCCAGCCATGATGGAACAGTCTTTTGAACTGAGTCAAGCAAAATCATGTATGAGTCTCTCCCCCATGGATAACTCAACAGCAACTCCAAATTCTGTGCTCTCTTGAAAAGCTTCTTAGGGAAACGATATGTAGCATACTTTGGAAGAAGTAGAGTCTTGATCAGAATCAACATGGCGAGAGAGAACCTCTCGCCCTTGTTATCTTCAGTGCATGCAGTCTTTTTTAGCACTTCTAGCAGCTCCACATGTGTATGGTTATCCATGTATCCCTAATCATACTGTAAATCTGATGACTCGTCCTCTTCTTCTTCGTTCTCTTCCCACTCAGAACACTTTAATAGAGAATTTAATAGGTTTTGCTCCGTAGTGGAACCCCATCTCCTTCTCTTTGACGGTTTTGATAGATCTAGTCAGCAAGCAGTGCACCATTTCCCTTGATATCATCATGGAATCTCTTAAACCAAGCTTTAATATCGGTCCCACGAAGGTGTTCCTTTCTCTTTGAAACTCTGCAATGCTGAGCCTTTGTCAATTTTTTTGAGTATCTTAAACGAAGCAACTGATTGACTGTCTGCCCTGGTTCTTGATTCGGCTCCTCTCTTATCTGGAAATGGAGTTGAGGCATCGCAAGATTTGGGAAAGGGGAAACAAATCTATGGATAATACTTCCTGAAATTTAGAAAACACCATCTCAATCTCAAATTGGTGCTTTTAGGAATGCCTTTCTAAATCACTTAGAAATTATTACATACAAAATGCTTTGGTGACAAACCAAACAATCACATACAAAATACTTCCTAAAATGCTTTCGGGTTTATGAAAACCATTCAGGAAGGCATTTCTATATTATAACAAATTATTCCTGAATACTAGGGACGCCTTTTGGGATTGACAATGCGGACTTAGATTTCAAATTTTGGACAATCTCTAGTTTGCAAACAGTTCAAAAGTGATTTTAAGATGCAAAATCACGCCTAAAAGAAGGTTTACCTAAATCACCCAGAAATGTGACTAAAAATGCACAAATCAAATATGAACAGAGAAATAGCTTTGGTACAAAACAATCATCAGACAAGTTACAAATCCAGCCATCTTGAGCACAAAAGATTTCAAAACCCCCAAATTTTGAGATTTAAATTTAGGTTTTTGGAAAACTGTTTGTAGGAAACAAAGAGACGTAGCAAATTACTTTGAATTACAAATTAAAGATTCACCCACTCCAATGAAGATTCCGTCAAATCTAGACAAAGTTACAGCAAATGTGAAGTTGAGAGGCGATCGATGAAAGTTTTTAAAAGATTTTTGATTTTCCAAGAAAGAAATGAAAATAGAATTAGAGCTTGGTTATTCACATTTTTTTTTGTTTGATGAATGTTATATTTGTCCTTGTGGAAATTAAGAGCTTTTGTTGAAAAGTATAAATTTCTAGGGATATTTTTGAGATTTATCCTTATTGATTAGAGGATATTTTTTTTAAGGTTAAAGAGTTCGTTGAGAAATTAAAATAGCTATATTCTGTTTGTTAGAACATGTACATCAGTGAATTTCTTTATAGGGTTCTTAGAAATTTTTTAATAATTTTTTTTATCAAAAAATAGTTAAGAATTCTTCCTTTTTTCTTCCTTCATTGATGAACCTCATTAGAGTTTTTAACAATTTAAAATTAATAATTTATGGTTAATTAGAAAATAAAATAAGAAAACATAAGAACTTACTGTGGTTTTCCTGACAAAGAAACATCACAGGAGTGAAAGTGGTATCAAGCTAAATGTATATATTAACTTTTTCGATAGGATACACGGCTAGGTGTCCTTGTCAGAGAACAACCAAGAAGAGAATAGAGACTCATGTTTCTCAAGTCATGTAACTAAATCAGAACATGAAGCGTTCGTTAAGAAATGATTACCAGCTCAGGGGTTGGCTTTTCAGGTAATGGCTTTGCAGCTTTGAAAAGAAAGAAAGTTTGAAGATAAAATTAAACACAAGTAAAAGCTGGATCCAAAGGTAACAAAAAGGTGAGGAAAACAAGAGTTACATGCACGACTGAAAGTTCTTGTTGAAACTACCAGTCTCCTTGAAGAGCTGCTCAAAATGAGGCTTACAGTACAACACACCTTCCATTGATGAATAATTACTCAGCTATAAGAACCAAAAAACCATCAAGTACATATTTTTACTTGAAAGTCTTTATATCCTAGATAAAACTCATCATCAATCCCTTCAATAGTTTCACAGAACTAATAACTATACTCAGGAATTGTTTTTGGAAAATTAATCATTCAAGCTCCATTAGTGAAACTTAAAACTCAGAATGTAGATATCCAGGAATTGATCAAACAGAGTGATGAGGGAAAGAAAAAGAGGTCTTATGTCTGCTGCGGGAAAGAAAGAATTGAATACAGAATAAAAACATCAGTGTAGATAGGGAAAATCACAATTTTAAGTTCTTAATTATGTCTTCTTCTTCTGTTTTCTGATGCATACTTTCTAATAAATCACAATCTAGTCAAAACCAGCTAACTAATACACTAAAGCTATGGTTGCTCTTTATCACTGAGAGAAGCAGCTTACATTATCTGCCATGGAGATCTCTCGCCTACGATGATTCAGACTTGGACGGCGGAGGCGTCTGTGTCTGCTGCGAGAGCGGTGGAAATTTGGAAATCAGAGGAGAGGAAGAAAACGGTTTGAAGCAACGACATCAGAGGAGAAGCACGGAGAAACGAAGATCCACAGATTTTGTCCGTAAAAACTTGAAACCATTCACGGGTTGACACGTTTCCTAAGAAATTATTAAAAGACGGGTTCATAAGACCACTTCCATCCTCATACAGAAGAGTTCTTAGATCACGTGTTCAACGCTGAGTGCTTAAATGGATTCTTGAGTTTTTTTCTTAAAAAAAATATAAATAATTAGTTAAATTAAACATCGATGCTTGTTTAAGCGTTTTAGGATGCAGTGCTTAGCAGACACGTGTCAAAAAATTAAAAGATCATAGGTGTGAAACCAAAATATTTTCTCTCTCTCACGACCAAAACATTTTTTCTCTCTCCAAAACCAAATTATTTTCTCTCTCTTAACTTTAGATTTATTATTAAATATTTTTTAAGCACTCTAATTTAAAATCTAGCATTGAACATGCTCTTATATTTTAAATTAATAATAAAAAAAAACAATGAAAAGATAACATACTGGTTCTAACACCATTATTATCGCTATATATCCTTTTGAGTATCTTAAACAATTTTATATTATTAAAATGAGTCATCACATGTTGAATACGTTTCTTATAATCCCCATTTAAAAAAGGTCACTTGATAATTTTAGTGGGTCCTATATGCTTTATATTATTTTTAATGGTAAAAAATACTAAGAGACCCTATAAAAACTAGCGATAATTATGCTCTAAAGTCCTTGTATAAGAGCTTCGTGTAAGAAAGTATATATAAATGTGGCGTATTTTTATTGGTTGAATTTTTTTGAGATGTTCTCTCTCCTTCTTTTCTCTCTTCTCTCTTTCTTTTTAAATGATTTTTTTTTTCATTTTTGGAGATTTTCTCTCCTCTCTCCCATCTCAAAAATTTATTATTAAATTTTTTTTTAACAATTCATGGGAGAGTTCTGTGAACGCTAGGATCATGGGGTTTATAAGTGAGGTTCATAACCCTTATTTGATTTAAAATAAATGAAAAAGCCCAAAATTGTTATGAGCCGCCTCTTCAGGAAGGATTTTTAGAGACGGTTTTAAGAGGGGTTCATAAACACGTGGCTCAATCTTATTCGTCGGTGTTAAAAAATTGTCGGGCATTTTTTTCTGCAAACTTCTTCGACCATATCGACTTCTTTCATTTCTCTATACTTCGTTTTTTCTTCGACACCGGCGATTTCCACTGCGTAAACCCAGAATCGTCGAGACCTGATCCTCCGTTTGAAAGCGAGATCGATTCCGGTGTATGGAGTCGCGTCTTTGAAGGTATGTCCTCGGCTCGATTGATTTGTGTTAATTTTTGGGTGAACGGGAATGAAATTAGGATTCCATCTTCTCTCTCGACGATTCTCCTTCGACTTGATCGCCTTCGGAAATCACTCTGACATTTTCTTCTCACAATTTTTGGTTGACGTTTTTGCTCTCTTATGGCGACTTTCAGATAGAGCAAATCGGAGTGATGGAAGAGAAATAATGGTGGTGGCGACGAGCCTAGCTTCGCTTCTGGAGAAGCTCAAAGTGGAGGAGCCATACCTTCCACCGCGAAATTGGGAATCCTTACATTCTGAGAGCGGCTGATTCTTTCCTCAAACTCGTGCTTCTGCTTCTCCTTCGTCTTCTTCCTCTGTCTCTGTAAGTTTAGTGCCACAAACGAATTATCGCTTTTCATTTATGTTTGTGTTAAAATTGAGAGCTTTTATATATCTGTTTTTTCCTAGTAACTGCGTGGCTTGGATCGGAAACCAAATAGGGGATTTGGTAAAGTATCAGTTTTGGTGATTGAGTTTTATTAGGATCAATCTAAGTAACTGAGACTACTTCTCACATTTTTCAGAAATTTTGTTGCTTGTAATAGGAATCAAGCTTGGTTAGGTTGGCGTTGAATGCTCTGCAAGGTGTTGAGTCTTCTCTTATTAGCATAGGGAAGCTTTCTTCTATTATGGTCCGAGCCAGCTGACAGGACCACTAACAAAATTCCGAGCTTATGGCATCGGTTGTCAAGCACTGATGCATTGGGACAGATTCTTAGAAACATAGGCTGCTTTGGTTCTTTGGTCTTTCTTCTCCGTAAGTTCATAGACCATTTCACAAGCTTGAATTTGTGTATGGAAAATGAAGTTCCGTAAGTTCATAGACCATTTCATAGACCATGGTTCCTCTTGGTTAGGCTGCCTTACAAATGTCGTTCATCCAAAGATAACCTTATTGGAAGTTTTGTTACATACTACATAGTTACGAACACAGATCTTGGTGCTATATTAAATTACTTAATAGAAGTTCTGTTTATATAGACAACTTTGCAAATATCGGCGGTTTCATATCAGGATTCCTTGAAGAGTTAATGTGTATCCCAACAGGTAACATGTTTGTTTGATTAAGATTTTTGCATGTCTAATATCAATTATAAACCCCACATGAGAAGTTCACCATTGAAAGAGTAAAACTAGGTGGAGTTCTAAATTTTTTATTTCTGAAAATTTTAATAATAAAATATTATGGATGAACTCCATGAGGAGTTCACTATTGTGGATGCTCTTAGCTAAGAGACGGATTCTTTTCTTTTATTTTTTAACAAAATTACCTAGAATATTGGTCCAAAAACCTGTTATGAATCTCCAATGTACTTTGACCAAAAAAAAAAAAACCTTCAATGTACATGGTCTTATATTTGCGTGTATTTCGTTTGTTTGACTCGTTCACTCTAAGAAAAAAATACAAATCAGAACCAAAAATTTTGTAGACTGACACAAATCATGGCATCAAGAGAGGATTGAAGTATAGTTATCAAACAAAGTACACATAAACAAAGTGATACACACAAAAGCACAATCACAGAGATAGAGAGAGAAATAGAGACCACTCGTCTTCACGCCTCTCTCTCTTTCCCGGCAATTTCACTTTACCTTTCTCTCTAAGCAAAAACCCTTCATGTGACCATTTCCCTTTCCTCTCCTCCATGCATCACTACTCCGCCGCCGTCTCCGGCGAACTTATTAAATCACCTCCCTCAACTGCACCTCTCCAACCACTTTTTGACCTCATCACAAACGTCCTCTCTCTCCTCCTCCTCTCTTCCCTCAACGTCCGTTCCTTCATCGGAAAATGGCAAATTCTCCACTCAAAACTCTTCTCCCTCAACACCTCTCTCTCCTCCTTATCTGAATCTTCTCACTGGTCTCAGAACCCTCTGCTCCACACTCTCCTCCCTTCTCTCCTATCTAATCTCCAACACCTTAAATCTCTTTCTCACCAATGCTCATCCGCTTCTTTCTCCGGCGGAAAACTCCTCATGCAAAGCGACCTCGACATCGCTTCTTCCTCCCTCTCAACTCACATCAGTGACCTCGGCCTTCTCCTCAGACCTCGGCCTTCCTCCCTCTCAGCACACCGCCGGAAGTATAAGCAACATCGCCACCGTGGAAGATATAAGAACGATGCTCGCGGAGGAAGGAGCCGTACCGGTTCTTCTCCCTCTCTTAACCTCCGGTTCAACGTCGTTACAGGAAAAGGCGGCAAACTTCATCTCCTTACTCTCATCCTCTGGTGAGTATTTCAGAGATTTGATTCTTAGAGAGAGGGGATTGCAGATTCTGATTCATTTGGTTCAGGAATCGTCGAATCCAGATACAATTGAGCACGCTTTGATTGCTCTCACTCAATTATCCGCCATGCATTCGATCTCTAGGGTTCTATCGTCGTCGACGGGATTCATAATCCAATTAGGAGAATTCGTCAAGCACGGAAATGTGATCCTGCAACAGATCTCAGCTTCTTTCTTAGTGAGATTAACAATCAGCGATGGAAACAAACGAGCGATCGCCGATTGTTTAGGTTCGTTGATAAGGTTAATGGAGTCGCCGAAGCCGATGGGGTTACAAGATGCGGCGACGGAAGCGGCGAAATCGTTGCTCACCGTTAGATCGAATCGCAAAGAGCTGATGAGAGACGAGAAGAGCGTGATTCGATTGGTGCAAATGCTCGATCCGAGGAACGATAAGATGGTTTCGAAAGAGTTTCCGGTGATGATTGTGGCGGCGATTCTCTCAGGGGGAAGCCATGCGGCGAGGAAGAAGTTTATGAGTTTAGGAGCTGATCTTCATTTTCAATCTCTGGATGAAATGGAAGTTCCCGGCGCCAAAAAGACGTCAGAGACTCGCCGCCGGTAATCGGCTCAAGAGTATCTTCGCCAGAGCATGGAAAGATCACTAAAGGTGCGTTATTTTTTTTCTTGATTGGTTAGATGGTCATTTTCATAATTTGATAATTTCTAGGAGGAAAAGGCTAAATTACCCCTCTGATTTAGAACAATTCTTTGGTTTTTGGTTCACCCCTCTTCTATTATAACCAATCAAAATATGTATTTAAAGTGAATTAAAAAAAATAAAAACAAAAATAAAATAGAAAAACAAATTAATAATAAAAAAATCAAAATTTAATTTTTAAATTTTAAACCATAATCCTATACCCTAAACCATAATATATAAATTAAAAAAAAACTAAACCCTAACTCGTAAACCCAAATATTTATTTTTAAATATTTAGAAATAAAAACTAAACCCTAAACCCTAAACCAAATATTAATTTTTTAAAAAAATAAAAAATAAAAACTAAATCCTAAACTCTAATCCCTAAATCCAAATATTAATTTTAATAATATATATTTGGATTTAGGGTTTAGAATTTAATGTTTATTTTTTATTATTAAAATTAATGTTTGGGTTTAGAGATTAGAGTTTAGGATTTAGTTTTTATTTTTTAATTTTTTAAAAAAATTTAATATTATGCTTGCGTTCACTATTTTAATTTAGGGTTTAGTTTTTTCATATTAGAAAAGAAAATTTAAAATATGTTATTTGATAAATTACTTTAATTAATTTTATTATTTAGCTGATTTTTATTGGTTAAAATAAGAAAGAGTAAATAAAAGAATAATTTTAATAACAAAATCAAATTATTTCATTTGAATAATATTAAATTTTTAATTTTGTGTTATAAAAAGTCAACTTACCTTAATTGTTTTATGAAGATAATATTCATTTATTTTAAATCTTAAATAACATGTGTTTGATTGGTTAGAAAACAAATGGGTGAATGAAGAGGTTCACCCCTTCAAGAACTGTTCTCTCTGTGACGAGTGGACTAGAATTTGATGTCTTTTTGGAGTCCACAGCTTTTTTTTAAGAGAAAATTAGAAATTTAGGACAATTTTCTAAACCATTTGTCCTTTTAAGATTTAAATGCTTAGACATTGTCCCTTTAAGATTTATTTTAATTAAAACCCAAAATTACCTTTAATTTTTTCATTCTAGTATTTTTTGTTTAGTTTTTTAAAATTCTGCAATATTTTGAAACCTTATTCGCCGGGATTGAAGACGACTTCGAAATTCTAAGGTTTTGAATCACGCATATGTATATGTATACGACCCGTTGACACATATATATATATATAAATACCCTTATTTGTTCTGCATTTCTTTTTTTGTGTGTGCTGCCACTTTTATTTTGGCGTGAAATGACTAAGTTCCTCTCTGTGTAAACTGTTTCTTCTTTGTTTTGGAAAGCCATATCACCAACGCTCACCAGTTGTTCAACCATTTGTCCCAGTGACCAGTGTGAGTAGGCTTTCCGATTGTTGTTATTCATTTATTTTGAGGTTCTCATTGTCATAACAGAGAGATGTTTTCTCTGAGATTTCTCGAGCTCAACTAAGCTCACCCACTCCATAACTATTGCTACAGAATCTGTAAACTCCTAATACTTGTCTTTTATGGATTTGCATTAGGTTTTAATCATATATAATCTTACTCTGCCAAGGTTTTGCTTTATGAACATGAGACTTTATGCATATTCTTATTAGAAACAAGATTTGTCATCACTATTTTCTTGATTAGTATAGCTTGTAGGATTGTAATCAAGTAACTAGAGTGGGAATCAGCTGACACGTGGGATAATGTGTTCACGTTCTTCTTTATATATAGTGCTCCATGCAAACAAATTAAATATGTTTATTATTAATGTATTATTATTCTACTTCTCTGTTCAGTCCAAGTTGAGAAGTTAAAATGTGTCTGATGTGTGTTTGAATTGCAGACGTGTGTTTGAATTGTGTGTTTGAATTGCAGGAGCAACTAGAGAAGAAGAAAGCATAGTAAGCAGAGAAGATGAAGAATAAGGTTGCAGTGATTCACAAGAAAGCCAAAGAGAGGAGAAGATATTCTTCAAGCAGAAGAAACTACTGCTAAATACAGAGCCACTGGAATTGCAAATAGAATTTCAAGAGTTATCAATTGTAAAGTCTAAAGATTCTTTCTTATGTCTTCGATGGCTTGTAATCGTGTTTGTGAACTGTTCTTGTGTGTAAAGACTACATAGTGAAAATTTTTTCCATTCTTTTACTTATACAATTTTCTAAAGCATTGTCAAATCATAAATAGGAGACTTTTTTGGTGATCAGGATTAAGTTGAAGTCCAGATCACCTGCATCACAGTTCCTGTGTTTGATAACAGATATGTTTGATACTGGATATGTGGATTTAAAGTCGTAGGAACATAAGATAACTATGTACATATACTTTCTATTTCTAATGTTTATGGAAATTACTGAGCTGAGTGAGCTCCATTTGTTTGGTATTATTGTATTAAGATTTGAAGCTAGCCGATTTGTTGAAGAAGAGATTGTCTTTCATCAAAGTGTGAGAAGATAGCGAAAAGAGCAAAGCAGAAAAGAAAAAAACGTTGTGGAAAAGAAAAAAAATGGAAATAAAAAAGAAAGTAAATATTTGGAAAATATTTAGTTTGGTGGATAAGCACATGAAAACTAGATTTTCTCAGATTCTGTTAACGACTTAATAGAATACATGTTCTACATTACGTTGAATTAAGAATGATTACTAGAATACACATTCTAGTTAAATATAGAACGTAATGAAAAGTATAGAAAATGTATTCCAGAAGCTGTAGAACGATGAAGAGTCTATAGAATACATATTCTATACGGCTAATAGAATGAAGAAGAACATGTAGAACATCGATTCTAGGTTTTGTAGATTGTATAGAAATGTCTAGAAAACATATTCTATAAAACCGTAGAATCTAGAATACGTTTTCTAGGTGTTGTAGAAAATAATTTTTAAAAATTAAAAACTTTCCATAAGTAATTTTTGATAATTAGTTTATTTCCTTATTTGGTATTTTGGAATTTTTTATAAAAAATTAAGCATTAAATTTGAATTCTGAAATTAATGTAATCCTTAATTTAAGGGTAATTAAGTCCAAAAGTGACAAAAGTCCAAAAAATCTTATAAGGACAATTGTTTGCAAAATGTGTCCTAAATTTACAATTCTCCCTTTTTTTAATTGAATATATACTTAATTGAATTGATTAGAGAAATACAGATGGGAAGATACTCCATAATTTAAGGTTCCCTTTGAAAACGTAGTCTCGAGGGCTATATAATAAAGGTTAGGTTATATAATAAGGTTATACTTCTTTAGTCGACCAAAAAAAATAAAAAAACATATATATATATAATAAGGTTGGCCGGCCTAAAGTGATTTGACACCTAAAGCGTACTATAAAAATGATGCTCTTAATCGAAAAAAAAAAATTTAAGCTTAAAATAGATTTTTTAAGTCCAAATTAATTTTTTAAGCTTAAGATCGATTTGTTTTAAGCTCAGAATCGATTTTTTGAAACTCAGAATCGATTTTTTATAACCAAAACAATTTTTAAAAGCCAAAATTGATTTTTTTTAAGCCCAAAATCGATTTTTATAAGCCAAAACCAATTTTTTGAAGCCCAAAATCGAATTTTTTAAGCTAGAATCGATTTTTCTTTTAAATATTTGATGGGAATAATGACTCTTATTTATAGGCAATTTTTTCTTCCTATTTTTTCTGTTTGGTTGATGTGGGACAAACTTATTTACACACACTTATAAAAACTAGCGCTGGCAAAAATGTTTTATAAGTTAAAACATAAACATTTAAGGCAGATATGTTTCTTAAAATAATAACACAATTACATGAAAAAAATATTATAACAATGTTAGAAATTTGACAAACCCAAAAAAAAATGAAGAAATACAACATTGTCCATTATGAATGTATTCTTTTAACTTTCTTTTTCCCTCGCTAGAATCTTTCTCCATCTTTTATAAGTATGTAAATTTCATTTTTTTTTTAACGTATTTGATTTTTTTCTTCTTCTTTATTATTATTATGTTCTCCAACTATTCTTCTTTTTCTTTCTTTTTTGGTTCCTCTTTTGTCTTTCTTTTTCAGTTTTTCTTTTTCATCGGTTCTTCAACCTCAACTTCTTCTACTTCACATTCTATTTTTTATTCTTTATTTATTGTTTATCACCTCCCTCCTATATTTTGTTTTCGTTTAGTCTCATTCACCTTCTTATTCTACTTATGTTTTTAATTCTCTTTTTTGATGTCATCTTTTTCATCGTCATAGTCTTCATCTACTTCCTCATTTTAATCTTTAAGTTTTTTTTTTCATTGCCTTTTCCTTATTATTTTGATCAACTTCTTGTTCCCTCTCATTCTTTATCATCTTCATAATCTCCGACTTTTTATTCTTCCTTTTGACTTCTTCTTCTTCTTCCGAAGTTTATTTATCTCATCTTCGCCTTCTTCCTCAGCATATTCAATTTTATATCAAATCTTCTATTATGTTTTCCATCACTCTCTCTCTCTCTCCCCTTCTCTCTTACTATATATCTCTCTTTCTTTCTAATTTAGATCTCTTTTGGATATTGCCCGAGAATCTTCAGCATTTCTTATTTTTTCACTTTCATGAAAGATATATTTCACAATAGATAGGTTGAGTATTGTTTTTTTTTCAACTTCTTCTTCTTCTCTTTTTTGTTCACTTAGTTTATCTTCAACATCATTTCTACCACAATTTCTTTGTACCTTATGTACCTTTCCTCCGGCATCATTTCAAATTGGGTTTGGAACCAGTTATAATATTTTTGAATTCAACATCCATGAATTCAACAGCACCATGGAACCATCAAGTTATCTTCTTTCGTTTGTTTGAATACTGTCTCTGATTCTTTATTCTTCCTATATGTTTCGATTCATTATTCTTTGTAGAACAAGACTATACAATCACTAAATTAGGTATAAAATTAAAATCACATTTAACTTAAAACTCTCCTTCAGATGGTGAGTATACATGTCTCTTAAACTAAAGGGACAAAAGCTTGCAAAATTAAAGATTAAAAAAAAACTGATAGAACAGAGTTATCATACCAAGAAGAAGTTTTGACCCAGCTTATAATAATTATTCTTTGTTTTTTTTTTACCAAAATTATTTTTGTTTGTCGTCTTCAATCACTTATATGATCACACTAAAATTGAATTAAACCTAAACAAAAACAAAGAAGATGAATCAAGCAAACCTTCTCGGAAGACAAAAAAGCCTAAATTTGGGAGCTGTATCTACGACAAAAAAAAGTAAGGTCCCATAATCGGATTTCACTCTCCTGAACCAGGATGACAATAATAAAACAAAAAAATTGAAATCTTTATACAGATATTTTTTTACTACTCCATTCATTCTCTGAACAATCCAAAATATTAATAGTAAGTTTGATTAAAAAAAACACAAATAATGAAAACAACGCAAGGTTATCCTCACCTCTTTCCGTAAACACTGCCGGAATATTTCGCTTCACACGCCCCTATTCTTTTCTAGTCGCTGATGTTAAACCGTAATTTAATAAGGATATATCTCAGCATATATAAATACATACAATTATAATTTCTGAAATTAACCATATACTCAAATACCAAAAATAAAGAACTAACGATACTTTGTAAATCTTCATCTATGATGACTGATACAAAGAATACGAAGAACACCTTTGTAAATCTCAGCATATAAACTCAAAGAAAACTAAGGGTACAAATCAACATATATAAACGAAAAGAATATAAAGAACACTTTTGTAAATCTCCTATCTATGATGACCGGCCTACCTCGATTTAAAAATTTTGTTCTCCACATTTTAGCCCAAGGAAAATCGCAATATTAGATCTAAAAACTATCAGTATTAAAACTTTCGTACGAAAAAACACCTGAAATTCAAACATAGAAAAAAATATATTTTAAAATGAAAACACATGAATACTCAAAAGTGACCGATTATGTGCGATTAATGACATATAGATCTAATTGATTTAGATCTAATTTAACCGATTTGTCCCAGAAAAAACATCACATCGATTAAAAGTATATATGACTTCTTTACTAAATCCAATCCAAACGATAATATAGATAAAGCAACCTATAATCTTTAGGAACGAATGAATATTGCAGCTTAAAATTCACATCTGTAATGATGTCACATGAATATATCGATAGAAGCAACCTATCTATTCCTAGGTTGCAGCTTGTCATTATAGATGTGAGTTTCTTCTGCCAAGGCATCAATATAAAGTATCGAAAGGATTTTTGATTGGATATAACCCGCTTCTGATTCAGTTGCGGTGAATAAAATAATTTTCACTTGCGACTAAATGCAAAAACACGATATTAGGGTTCGCTAAGTTATAAAAGTATAATTTAGTAAACTAAATCATGAAATTAATGGATTATAAAGCATAAAAAACCCAATGGTCGGTACAATTATTATATGATATAAAAATTTTATTTTAAACCAATTAAAAGATATTAATTGATTTTTAAGGAGAGGTAAAGGATAATTAGCCACTTTAAAATTGAAGGAGAGAGCTTAAAACTAAAAATTTATTTCGCTTATAATATATATGATTTGTTTGGGCTTTTTTTGGTTACACCTAAAATAATATCTTTTGAGCTGTCCTGAAGCCATTGCTTCACGGACTTTAGCTTTGGGTCGGCCCTTCTTATATCAATGTTTTCAGATTGGTAAATTCGAGGTCAAGATATGTATGTTAATTAGAAATCCGATATCCCATCCGGATAATGTCAAAACATGTTAATTATAAATCTGGTGAAACCCCAAAAATCTTAGCGAACCCTTAAGTCAATTACATGTTTTATTTATCAGTAAATCTTGCAAACTATATCTTGGATTTATGTTGAGATAAAAATCATATTTCTTTAATTGAATTATGGATATAATATTTAATTATATATAACTATTATGTGTGCTTAAACTGGCTAGGCTAGGTTGACAAAAAAAAAAAAAAAAAAGCTCTGGCTAGGCTCATATCATGTGGAGTCTGGGGTCGGTCGGTTCAATGTATTTGGGTCAATTTTTCAATGGTCAAATTGGGTTTATTGGAATATGTTAGAAGTGGGTAATTAATTTCTTAAATTACAGGTATGAAGAATGTAAATGTGGAGGACCTGGAAAGTGTGTTTTCTACTTTTGACTGAAAGCAAAGATTCCAATCATACACTCTCACATCGACCCA